AATTCATAGATACTAAACATGGTATGATTACATATGGCAAGATGACAGGAATGGGTTCCATCATAAGCATGCATAGAATATTCTAAAAATATCAAAGACAACATACACCATGACCTGAATGATATGTGTGTTCATTCAAAGAAAGGTTTCCCTATGAATTAATTAGTAGAAAAGCCAATTTCTGCTGTGCATTGTGGATTTCCTATGGAACATGCAGTGATTTTCCCTGCTTCGCATTCAATTAGGTTGTAAATGTATCTGGTGTCAGGGTTGCCATGGTAACCAGGGTCCTGGGCCCTGTTCACAGACATTTCGGCACCCAGTATGTTTATTGGGTGAGGGGTCTGTGAATGTTTGTTAATCTAATGAATAATTGATTTGTTAAATCAAATGACAAATGGTGTGTCTGACTGGTCCAGATGCTACATAAGACATTTAAGAGGTCATTGTACTATAAAAACCATCCTGTAAGTTTCGAACTCAAACTCATTAGTCTAAAAACAGCATATATTGAGGTCAATCTGCCAAAATGACGTTGAGGAATGTGCCAATTTATGACGTAAGTGTTGCTAAACACCGCAGATCAACACCTGCTTCTACATCACTGCCTGCTTAGCCCCACCCACCAATTAGCGCATAGTGTAAATAACTGGAAGCAAACGCAGGTCTATGCAGAAACCAAATGATAAAGATGATTCCGAAGACAAGACGCTGTTCAGTGCCAAGTTGTGGAAAAACAGCCTTTGCATTGCCTCCCTTCTAATCCCAACAAGACTGTATAAGCTTTATTTTTACTGAAGTTCCAGACCGCATCAGTAAGAACTAGGTCCTTTGTTTACTTCATTTTATCTCATATTAGTTTACAAACAAGGCATTATTCGACAGACTGAAACTGAAAAGCAATGCAGTGCAGACTATATTGGATCCTAGAGTAATATCACATCACATAAGTGTAACTGTTATTTCTGCATAAATATGACCCAATTCATCATCAGATTTTCACACAAGTTCTGAAAGTAGACAGAGAATCCAATCAAACAAATGAGAAAAATATTTTCTGTCATTTATTTATTGAGAAAAATTACCCATTGTTGCATATCTGTGCGCTGAAAAATATGTGAATCTCTATGATTAGCTGTTAATTTGAGGGTGAAATTAGAGTACATCTGTTCAGAGGTGTTTTCACTCAGTGAAATTACTATCATGTGTCAGTGTGGCCCCGTTTTATTTAGAGAACAGGGATCAATGAAAGGCTAATCATGTTTGCGGAAGTGAATCATGGCACGAACAAAGGAGATCGCGGAGGACCTCAGAAAAAGAGTTATTGTCAGGCTGGAAAACCAAAGGTTACAAAACCATCTCTAAAGAGTTTGGACTCCACAAATCCAGTCAGACAGATTGTGTAGAAACGGAGGATATTCAAGACCATGTTTACCCTCCCCAGAAGCGGTCGACCAACAAACATCCCTCCAAAAGCAAGACTTGTAATAGTCTGCGAGGTTGCAAAGGAACCCAGGGTAACTTCTAAGCAACTAAAGGCCTTTCTCACATTGGCTAATGTTAATGTTCATGAGCCCATCATCAGGAGAACACTGAGCAACCATGGTGTCCATGGCAGAGTTGCAAGGAGAAAGCCACTGGTCTCCAAAAAGAAAATCACTGCCCATCTGCAGCTTGCTAAAGATCATGTGGACAAGCCAGAGGACTATTGGAGAAATGTTTTGTGGACAGATGAGACCAAAATAGAATTTTTTGGTTTATATGAGAAGTGTTCTGTTTGGAGAAAACACCACACTGCATTCCAGCATAAGAACCTTATCCCATCTGTGAAATATGGTGGTGCTGGTATCATGGTTTGGGCCTGTTTTGCTGCATCTGGGCCAGGACGACTTACCATCATTGATGGAACAATGAATTATACCAGCAAATTCTAAAGGAAAATGTCAGGACATGTGTCCGAGAACTGAATCTCAAGAGAAAGTGGGTCATGCAGCAAGACAACGACCCCAAGCACACAAATCATTTTACCAAAGGATGGTTAAAGAAGGACAAAGTTAAATGTTTTGGAATGACAGAGTCAGAGTCTGGACCTTGATTCAATTTAAATGTTGTGGAAGGAGCTGAAGCAAGCAGTTCATTGGAGAAACCCATAACACCACAGAGTTGAAGTCATTCTGTACGGAGGAATGAGCTAAAACTAATATAAGATGTTATGCAGGACTGATCAGCATTTACAAGAAACTTTACCTGCAGTTCCTGCTGCAAAATAGGGTCACACCAGATACTGAAAGCAGATATGTAACAATGGATAATTTTTCTCAATAAATAAATGACGAAGAAAATATTTTTGTCTCCTTTGTTTGATTGGGTTCTCTATGTCTACTTTGAGAAAATCTGATGATGAATTAGGTCATATTTATGCAGAAATATAGAAAATTGTAAAGGGTTCACAAACTTTCAAGCAGCACTGTATATATATCTCTCTAATTATATTATAATTTATTTTAACTCATGGTTTGTTCACAGGTTTAGTTAAAGTTTAGTTTACATTATTGCAGCACCTCTCTTTGCAGTCCGTCTCAAACATGCCGTTTAGTTCCTGTTTTGATAAATCCTCCTTACGAAATACAAAATGTGCTCTGATTGGTTAACTGACTGGCAAATAGTGTGTGTTCTGGAAATTCGAGCCAATTGTTGCAGTTCTTCAAATGCGTTTTCTATTAAAGAAAATATCTCCCTTTGGTGTGGACTTTGAGCTTTGCAACCTTGCAGATCTTTTTTTTGTGATAAAACAGCAACATTACACACTAACTAAAGTTGACAGTGAAAAAGCAAGAGCCGTTTAAGAGAAAAGCTCTCATTGGAGGATTTAAACTCTTGAAATCTGGCAACCACAACCATGAAGATAGCACAAGTACCAAATTACAATGAAACGCCTTCAGGATGAACAACCAGAGGGCAAATATCACAGATGATTATGCTTAATAAGTCTGAGATGCAGTAATCACGATCATGATTAAAATACGATTCATCATGCAGCCCTACTGTGTCAGAACCAGACAAGATTTGAGTGACGAACAGTTTCTCAATCCACACTTAAAGTGAAATTTCTCCATGACACCACACAACCACAGCCAATCAGAAGGTACTGGATTTGGGAGCTTCACATTGCAGCCAGTTAAACACTGTCCTGAAAGCACTGGAGTGAAAAACACCACCCATAACACCTCACACGTGCATTTACCCTCTTCATCACTGTCTGAAGAATCCATGATGGGCTCGGCCAGCATACAGGAAACCTCTAACATGAAAACACTAGTAACTGATCTGTGTGTGACTGTATGAGACACTGCATGAGACGCAGTGCTCACATACCTGGCACCGTCCCAAGACTGGAGTTATCGAAGAAATGTGTGGACTCAAGATTAGGGGTGGGACAAAATATCGATATGGCGATATATCGTTGTCCTTCATGCGATACGAGAACCGATACACTGGCGCCAAATATCGATATTTTAATTAATACAATAAGGTGCTCTAAATAGATCACCCTGCTCGCAGTGTCTAAAAATTCGTGGAATAGTGTTGGGCGATTAGGCCATTTTTCAAATCGTCATATCGCCAGCCCGTGAGTGAGGGCAAGAGAGAAACTCTCTGTACTTGTCATAGGCTATTTCATAACTACGTGGTGTTTTAAACCGCGCGGGAGAGTCCATGAAAACACCAATAATCGAAATAATATACTTTCAAACATACTGATAAACTAACATGTTACATATAAAAATATTAAAAACAGCTAGTTCATATATATTCGAATACAACAATCATAAATCGCTATTAGGACCGCATCATGATTCATTACACAAGTTTGCCGCATCGGCGCACGGATGTTATCAGTCTAAAAGGTCTGCAAAATCAGTCAACCGTGAAATTCAAAAGTAGATTTATTTTAAAGACCAACAGTTTAACACTAAATATTGGATATTTTATGTGTTAAATATAAAAGTATTTAAAACAGGTAAGTTCATATATTTGGAGTAAAGTTCAATTGAACGGATACATCAGTCATACAGAGCTCTGGGCCGCGTGCTCAGTGACGAGCCCGACGCACTGCCACAGAGACAAGAATGAGATGCGTTCTAACATAACTGTGGCATTAAACTGCACATATATAGGCCGTTCAGATTACTTGCTACAGTGCAATACCTTACAGTGCCTTGCGAAACAGTGCCTTTTTTCCCCACATCAATCTACACTCCATACACCATATTGACAAAGCAAAAACAGAGCTGTCACAACTTCGTAAATTTATTTAATAAAAAAACTGAAATAACTACATTGCATAAGTATTCACTAAATATTTAGCTGAAGCACCTTTACAGTCTTTTTTTGTTTGATGCGACAAGCTTTGCTCATCAGCATTTGGCAATTATCTGCCATTCTTCTCATCTCTTCACCTCTCATGCTCTGTCAGGTTGGATGGGGGCAGATGCACATTTTCAGGTTTCTCCAGAAACATTTCATTGGGTTCAAGCTCAGGCTCTGGCTGGGCCACTCAAGGACATTCACAGAGTTGTCTATAATTGACTCTTGCTGTGTGCTTAGGGTCATTGTCCTGTTGGAAGGTGAACCTTCTGCCCAGTCTGAGGTTCTGAATGCTCTGGACTAAGTTTTCATTAAGGCCATCTCAATATTTTGGTGCACTGAGCTTTTCTTCTACTCTGATGAGTCCCTCAGTCCCTGCCACTGAAAAACAGCCCCACAGCATAAGGCTGCTACCACCACACTTTACTGTTGGGATGCTACTCTGCAGGTGATGAGCAGAGCTGGATTCCTTCAAACATGACGTTTGGAACTGCGTTTCATCAAACCAGAGAATCTTGTTTCTCAGATTCGGAGGCTCCTTTAGCGCCCTTTTTTTTGTTGCAAATTCCAAGTGTGTTTTCATGTGTCTTCACTGAGGAGAGGATTGAGTTTGCCATGCTGCCGTTAAAGCCCAGATTGGTGGAGTGTTGCAGTAATGTTTGTCCTTCTATAGGTTTCTCCTGTCTCCACATATGATCATGGAGCTCAACTAGAGTGACCATCAGGTTCTTGGTCACCACACTAACCAAAGCCCTTCTCCATCAGTTGCCCAGTTTGAACAGATGTCAAGCTCTAGGAAGAGTCCTGGTTGTTTCAAACTTCTTCCACTAAGGGTAACAGAGACTACATGCTTCTGTGACCCATCAATGAAGCAAAATTTTCTGAACTGTTCCCCAGATGTGTGGCTTGAAACAAACTTGTTTCTGAGGTCTACAGGCAGTTCTTTTGACCTCAGGGCTTGGTTTTTGCTCTAATATGCATTATCAGCTGTTAGACCTTTTATTAAGACACGTGTGCCTTTCTAAATCATACCCATTCAATTGAATTTGCCACAGGTTAACTTCACTCGAAGTGTAATGACATCTACAAGCAATATGCTCCTGAGCTAAATTTCAACTGTCCCAGAAAAGGGTATGAATACTTATGCAATGGAATCATTCAAGTTGTTTATTTCTAATAAATTTGCAAAGATGTTAAAAACCTGTTTTTTTGCTTTACCATTATGGAGTGTAGACTGATGTGGAAAAAAAGTAATTTAAAGCAGTTTAACATAAGGCAGGAACATAACAAAACATGAAAAAAATGAAGTGGTATGTATATCAGCAGACGATGTACTCCTTTACCGGCTACAGGTTCTAATCCTCATTTGCGCATGTGTGAAATAGCGGGGCAATTTGATAATAGCCAAAGTATAATAGGCCACCTAATAATAATGATAATAATTTACTACATTTATAGGAGAATGAGCCTAAAATCGTCTTGACTATCGACAAAGACATCTGCTATTGTTGATATCTATGACTATCGTTGATACACGATA